ATATCAAATAGGTGACAAAATAAAGAATACCTCGCATAGTGCGGCTTTGAGTAATTCGATTTGAATATTTTAAAACAAACTAAATGTTAATTGAGTAATATTAAAATAAATTAAAAAAAAGTAAAATAATGTGTACGTTTTTTTTCTTCCTTTTCTTGTGTGGTTTCAAACAGTCCGGAATATTGTCAGAACGGATTATTGTCATTTTAAATTAAATGTTTATATGGTAAATATAAATATCTTGCCACTACATGAAAGTTTTGAGATAATCCGAAGATTTTCTTCCTAATACATTCGGTCCTCTTTTTATGCGGTTTTTATATCAAGAAGCATTTATTTTAAATAACTATTTTAGGTAATTTTACTTATGAAGAATCATTATCTTCAGGACAAAGATCTGATATGCTGACTATCTCTTCTAGTGATGAAAGTGATTTCGAACCAGTTCGCAAATTATGCCAAACACTCTCATATAACTCATATAATTCTAAAGAAAAAAAATGTGAAGAAAGATTAACTTTCATAAAAATTTTCTGTATTTTTTTCTTTGTAAAATTTTTCCGTATAAATTTAGAAGGAATATGTTAAGCTTATATTTTTCTGAAATTTAATAAACTTGTCTATGATTGTTAACGTTTTTTATAAAATTATGATTAAACATTTCAGAAAGAAATAAGATAGTAAGACTAATTATTTTTTCTGAAATTTAATAAACCTTTTTTTATGCGATTTTCGGTATATTGTAACTCATTGATTTAGTTTTATGTGGTTTTACAAAAATTATGGAACGTATCCTTTATTTTTATACGTGTGTATAGTCCTTTTTTGTGCGATTTATTTTTATGCGTTTTCCTGTGGAACGTATCTACCGCATAAAAAGAGAAACAAGTGTACTTATATTTTCCATTAAAACTCTAATTAAAAGAAAATTAATTGAAGGCATAGTAACAAATAATTGACTATCATATTAATATGTAAATAATAGTTTAAAAAAAATAACGTTAATATATTTAAATCTACAATTATTAACTTTTCTTGAAAACCCATCGATTTCTACATTCAATACATTTCTAACATTTTTAAACCTATTGACAAATTCATCTCGATCTTCATTTGTAATTTTTGGCGTTGGCATTAAATTTGAATATGCTTGAAATTTGCGAACTTCTTTTTATTGAACCTTCGTTATCGGAGGTAATATCGATTTTTGATCAATTTACATATAAGGTAAATGGTTTCGGTTTAAAAAAAAACTGTCCTTTAAGAACGAATTATGTTCGCCGACCGAGGTTTCACTGTATGCCGTGTGCCAGTAAATCGACTGTCAGTAAGTAGATGCATTTTCGTGATCACTGAAAAATCGGATATCAATAATACGCATATCGTATACATTGGCATTCCACTTGAGGCGCATATGTTGTGTAATATATTGCCTCTTGCAGATTGCGGTTGCTAGGGGATTGTTGGCGATTAGGCGCACCCAGGGACCTCGGGTTTAGTGCGGCGAGGGCTGTCACACGGAGGATGAAATGAAGGAAACGAAAAGGTCGGATTCTCCCGGGATGTGTACTTCCAAATGTAGTTACTACGAGTTTTGCATTCGTTCGAAACGATCCGTGCGAAAGTGGAAAGAGTTTTCTCTCGTTTTAATTATGAAATTGGACCATTTCCCATTTACTTCGCAATAATTCAGGACTCTGTCCGATGCAATCAGACTTTACCCAAAGGTACATCAATATGTAATACAACCAACGAAACCTAAACGCCGTTAATTATTCCTTCAGACGATATATTCCACTCGAATGTTGTGAATCCATGAAAATGCCAGATTCTTAAGGAAACTGGTTCCTCGCAATTCCATATTATGTAATCGTGAACACATTACAAGTGTAATTCACATTAGAGAACTTTGCAAGTACAAAACCGATTCCGTCGAGATGGAAATAAAAGTGGATAGGAAACTGTTATGACAATACTTTGGCTTTAGAAGTATATGAAGCCATTAGAGAGGATTATTACACGCATTAAAGCTCATTATGTGGGATGGTTAGGAGGCCCGTTTTACAGTCTAATAACTGCGACTGAAAAGATATACGAGAGGAGGTGGAAGAATTATTGTTGTTTACGCATCCATCGGTCTACTAAGTTCCACATCCTGCGAGACGTCGTATTATTTTACGCATTATAAAATTACCAAAAACACGAGGAAATTCTACACAGTTTTTACAAGTTGATCAATAGATGGCGCTTCCCTCCTAGAGGGTGCATCCACTTGTATCCTAAATGATCACGAGGCGAACCAATCCCCTTTTAATGATTTTCTCTTCGACAATATTTAATACACCAATTATACAACACTTTTATTTTGAATGAAGTTTGAAAACGAAGTGTACAATTAAAAATTAACTTTTTCCATCTGAAAGCTTCCCAAATAATTCTTTCTATTCCATTTTTCTTTCATCCGCTCGAAATGGTAATTGCCGCTTGTCGTCGTCGTCTCCATCTCTCGACGTTGGATTCCATTTTAAGTAGCCGCCTTTTTGCGCGCAACGAAATTTCGCAAGTCGTATTTCTTTTCAGGAATTCGCAGTTACGGTTTCGTTTCCGTTTTCTTGCATTCACCATCGATGTTAAATGCTTTCCACCGCTCGTTTCTTTTTTATTTTCTTTTGTTTCTTTAGCACACACACAACATTTCCACTGACCCGTGTGGTTGCGAAATGATTCAACTTCTAAACTATACTATTGATTTTCTCACAGTTTCTTACTACTATTGTTAGATTTAGATAATATCATTTTCAAATATGTTATGTATAATAATACAGACTATGATAAATAAATGATAAAAGTATACCAAATTACGAGAAAATTTATATTAAGTGAATAACTTTTTGTTATTTTGGATAAAAGTTAAATAAATATAAAGTTTGTTTATTTCTATAAAAAGAAAATACATTCATTTCAAACGCAGTTCGACTAAAAATAGTTGCACAGATTCTAATAACGTTAGCAATTGCAATATAATATTTAGAACATATAAGTTTACATTTCATAAAACTAATTTTAGATGTATTTGTTACTTTTCTGTCGAACGTAAACAAAGATAAAATTAGTTTACTTTTGAAAGAAACAAATTTATTTCAAAACATAATTTGACTAAAACTAATTGAGATTCTTACTTTTCGATTTTAGAAAAATTTGACTAAATTTTTATGTAATATTTATCAATTTAAATATCTTATTTAACTAAAGTTAAAATGAATAAATTATGTACTAAAATCACCTATTAATGCTTAGATGGATAAATCGTAGATGTTGGTGTCAAACCAATTAATAGACTCGATAATTAGTGAAGATCGTATCGTTTCTGTGTTTGTTTTGTTTTTGTTCGTAAGATGTTGATAAATAAATAATAAAAGTATTCCAAATTACGAGAAAATTTATATTAAGTGAAGAACTTTTGTTATTTTGGATAACAGTTAAATAAAATATAAAGTTTGTTTATTTCTATAAACAGAAAATACATTCATTTCAAACGCAGTTCGACTAAAAATAGATTCTAATAACGTTAGCAATTGCAATATAATATTTAGAACATATAAAGTTTACATTTCATAAAACTAATTTTAGATGTATTTGTTACTTTTCTGTCGAACGTAAACAAAGATAAAATTAGTTTACTTTGCGGAAAAAAAAACAAATTTCGACTAAAACTAATCAATATATACATTTACATAATTACTTTTCGATTTTAGCAAAATTTGACTAAATTTTTATGTAATTTTTATTTACATTTACATTTCATAAAACTAATTTTAGATGTATTTGTTACTTTTCTGTCGAACGTAAACAAAGATAAAATTAGTTTACTTTTGAAAAAAAACAAATTTATTTCAAAACATAATTTGACTAAAACTAATTGAGATTCTTACTTTTCGATTTTAGAAAAATTTGACTAAATTTGTATGCAATATTTATCAATTTAATTATCTTAATCAACTTTAAAAAAGTTAAAATGAGGACTCGATTAAATTTATAAATAAATTAAACGAAGATTGTTTTATGAATGTCGGAATGAAACGATGTACTAAAATCACCTATTAATACTTAGATGATAGCGTAGATGTTGTTTGTATGGTATAAAACCAATTAATAGACTCGATAATTAGAGAAGATTTGTTACTTTTCTGTCGAACGTAAACAAAGATAAAATTAGTTTACTTTTGGAGAAAAAAAAACAACAAATTTCGACTAAAACTAATTGAGATCCTTCAATATATACATTTACATAATTACTTTTCGATTTTAGCAAAATTTTTATGTAATATTTATCAATTTTATTATCTTAATCAACTTTAAAAAAGTTAAAACATTAAATTTATAAATAAATTAAACGAAGATTGTTTTATGAACGTTGGAATGAAACGATGTACTAAAATCACCTATTAATGCTTAGATGATATCGTAGATGTTGTTTGTACGGTGTCAAACCAATTAATAGACTCAATAATTAGTGAAGATCGTATCGTTTCTATGTTTGTTTGTTTTTTTGGAATTTGAACGAGAATTAAAGTATTTTGGTGGTGGATTGTTGATGTGGTGACGGTAATGGACTGTAGTGGGTTCGTTCGACCGGAAACACGGGGCAAGGGGATTTAGCTTAATCATCGATTATGGATTTAGGTAATAATAATAACATGTGCGTATATATATAAGGATGAAAGTTGTTCGTAATTTGTATTTGGGGGGGACAGGAGGGGTCAGGTCAGACCGCAAGATCCAAATTGAGGTTTTAAGTAATTAATTTTAAAATATACTCGAGTGTGGATATCTTTTAGTATCTGTACAGATACATATACATCGTCACACGTAATCCAATCTAAACACTGTACGTGTGTGTTTATATGTATTTGTGTGCGTGAGTTTGGTGAATGTTTGCCGTCTCTCTTCATCCGAAGATCTGGATGGAATACGGGCGTCTTTGTTGCTCTCACGCCTACGTGGATTGACACTCGTTATGAGGGACGTTGCTTCGTCGGATGGATAGAGGCGGATAGGCGGCGTTGG